GTAATTTAAAAAAAGGCAGATGGATAAACCACAAGATCGGTCGGATAAAATGCCTCCTACACCACCTTGTCCATTTCTTCATTCACCTGGTGACAAGCGATTCCTCGTGAACGAATGGGAGTCACCGGTACGTGATACGGCATCGGACGAGTACCACACCCGCTGGCGCAGCATATTACCTTCCGCAGAAAAATGGTAGCCTCAACCACAGCTGATAATGGTGTTCTGGAGCTTACGATCAAAAGGGTGAAGCGCACCCGAAGTTGCGATAGGGTACTAGGAACATGAGCGACAGACGCCAACGTATAGGGACTGCTAATTTGCAATCAATTATGTATCGTGGACGAAAATCAAGCCCCCGCCAGGGATAGTTAGGGAGATATTTCGTTACACGGGCACTTTTCATTTTAGTAACGTATCACAAGCATGAAGCCTTCCACGAGAAAACAGTAACAAATCCTTTTTCGGCAATTAATGCAATGTTTGCCGTGCACGATTTAACGCTTTTTTTTATTATTGCGTGCTGCAATAAGCTTGTCAATCAAGGAGTTTCACCCCAGATTTTTCGTCCAATGGACAAACAAATCACAAATTTTGAAATGCCATCATGTTTTTAATTCCCACCGTACCATCTTCGGTAAGTATATGCATTGATGAAGAAATCATTTCCGGTTTGAAAGTTAATTGAATAAGCGTAAAAATCTTAAAATTTAAGGAATCAACAATTGTCTAGTTAAGCAATCTCTTCGTAGCTAAAACAACCCCTATTCGATTATCATTCGATCATGCCTTCCATCAGAAAACATGACATACTTGGTTGCTATCTACAATCTACTTCGACGCCGCATCGCATGATCTCATTAAAAAATAAACGACTTGGCCTGCGAGGTGATTCGTCCGACTCGTCCGATCTCTTTTTGTTGATACTCAGCATCACACATTAAATTACAAGTAGCCGACTTGGTAAACTTCATCATGTCCACGAACGTGGGTTTGCTAGTCTTAGATTTCACTTTCGAGTCAGGCCGATCGTCCAATTTGAAGTAGTATGCAAGCTCAAGCACACAAACTCCCAAATCAGGTGCCAAATGAAAATCTAAATGAGCAGGATGAGATGTGCCAGCACAACAGTTTTCATCTGATGCTATCAATGCGCCACTTTTTAAACCAATCAACGAACACTAATAATGCCTTTGTTTCTATTGCTGGAAGCGGAAATAAAACGTAAGGTCTAAAAGACATGCGAACAGCCTTTCAACGTACCCAGTTTAGGTTTTTAAGGGTAAGCAAAATACAAAGGTAGACTTCTCTCGATGACATTTGATTATTTGAACACTTACCAACCAATAGGACCATCGTGAGACTCATTCATTATCCACAACTGATTGATACATATCTAAAATTGACGAATGAGACGTACAGTTATCGACTATGGTTTATTTTAATATCAAGAGGTTGCAAGATGTGATTCCAGATGATGAGAACTGAAACGCCGGCGGCAAGACTTCAAATGTTGCCGGTGTAGCTGATTAATGCTCCGATCAAGCTTACAATCTCCGGATCATGAGCTTATTCTGATTGGTATTTTTAAGGTACGTTGACGAAGGGGCAATATCGCAACAGGGCTGTTACTCTAAGGGTCACTCAACTGGCTCAAAATGGGCCCGGTGCGAGAGTGAAGTAGCGGAAAAGTTGATTACTCCCGTCATTTGCCTGTAAATAAGTTGTGTTTTGCAAAAAATCACAGTAACCTCGCCATCAAACCGGTAGGTACGGCCGTACGCTTTAACGCATAGGTTGATGTTAAAGGTCTATCCCTATCATACAGACCACGAACTATTCCAACGAAAATTTAATGGGAAGAAGTTTCCTATCATGCACCTTAGTTTACATATAGAAATTTGAAGATGACAAAAATGATAATCAACGACGCTCCCACACCTCCTGGGACATACTGCAGTAGTGCACAACCGATGGCAGAGTCTTTTGTATCTCATACGACATGGGAAGGTCTTTCTTGATGTGTGATCGCCAAGACTTGTGAAAACATCAAGCATGTCATGATACTTTAAAATTAGCGCTTCTCTTCAGCATTCCGGAATCATTTCTCTTAATCTTCTTTGATAAGGATATCGGCGTAATTTGCGGATACTGGTGCAAGTACGCCGTTAAGCCATGGAAATGTCGAAGTCTTTTGGCGAATAATGCACAAGCAAATCAGTGATAATTGGTTTTTGTTGCAGACCGGGACGCGCCTTTTCTACCGTAAATCCACCCTCGTAGTGGTATTTGCTCTGCGCCAAATTACATTTCTTATGGGTGGAGTACAATTTGTGCCCGTACATAAGCGCACGAATGATCTGGACATGTAATCGGTACACTTCCTCATGTCATTTACAGCCCAGATACACTACAATACTGTTTAGGTAGCTCGGTGTAAAATCTCTCACAGTCTAAACAGAATTCTTACACAAGTATTTATAGATACAGGAGACTTCCGATCCTCTATAAATAACAAGATACTAGGGCGAGAGACTACCAATGTGAACGCTAATTGGAGGCAGAATACATCGATTCAGCCAAATCGTTAATATAGAACCCATCCATCCATTCCATGGGTAAAAAGAGATTAATCTTCGACATCCCGTCGATAGTGACAGCCTACCATAGGTTAGACGTCGTAGCCGGTACCGTTGCAGCACATCTTTTTCGAAGCGCATCACTATTCACCATCTTTTTTCTGTCTTGCGCACACAGAAGATCAAAGTGCCATACAAGGAAGTTGATTAATTGCATGGTCCGCTGCTAGGTGGCAGTAAATATTTGCTAGTCGACGTGTCATTTTTCACGAGGCAATCTCCACTGCTTTCGTGACACAGTACTGTAAGACTGGTGCTAGATTAGCTTTGTAGACAGTACCAATATTATCAGGCAACTTGCATTGTACTAATCCAGGTAAAAATTCTTTAATAAATTTAATAACTGAAATTAGGTTTAGTCTTAGACGAATTCCCAAATTGATACCTACATCATTCAATCCAAGATTACACACCGAAAACCCGTTCTAACTCGAGGAAATACTTATTTCTCGCCATTTCTCAGCAAACAACACAGCCTATCGTGTCTGGGTGAAATACTCGGTCCCTCTCGCCGAGTACAGATAAGATTGCCTATCCAGTATGTGGTAAGCTTAAGAGCCTTATATGTATTGGCGTGGTCAATTAAGTCATTTCCGAGGTTCACTATGAAGGCGCAATATGATTAAGTATGCCTGCGACTTGTTGATCTGTCATTAATGAATGCATTCCATGTCTCAATTTAATTATGGGAACATAAACTTTTAACTTTCTTGAGCTGTGGTTGTGCGATCACAGCGATATATGCTCTGTTTGGATCTCCAGTCGATCTAAGATTATCGTAATGTCATTCTTAATTAGCCGTTTGAAATAGATTAGAAAACACCAGGAGAGCTTCATTGATTCGGCACCCATGCTAATTAAGTTGTGGGCCGTCGGCGCCGCCCAAGTTTTTACAGCCGCCGCAATTTTGCTTCACAGTGTGATGGCTTGCCGCATTGCAAAATGTTGTCAATACGAATTAATGAGCCACAAGTGATGCCAATGCACGATGGCTTAGTAAATTCACAAGCTTTTGGACAGTTAGACGATTTTTATGAGATGACCAATAGTTAAATAAACGGCATACACATTGGATGTTTACACTTGCCAAATGACTTGTTGCTCGTACCTTCTGAGCCACGGTCGATTCAAAATGACATCAAATTATTCATTGAGGTCAAACACTATAATGTAAAAATCACACTAAAGCCTTTCCTTGAATGTAATGACCCCCATTACTCGCTGCATCACTATCACGGATGCGCTTGATGTAAGGCGAATCTTTCATTTTCTGTGGAAATGTGTCGCATTAAATAAATTTAAGCCTTCTTTTATCTAGATACAGGCTTTGTTTTTTAAATCTCCAGATGACCCACAGTCGAAAGTGTCTGAAGCGTCATGTCCTCCTCGACTCAATCTGCCCTAACCAATTCAATTTTCAGCGTGATACGAGATAACTCATTCATAGGAAATGCAACGCATAGCGATTGTATACTCGGGGCAGCTGTTGTCAGTAGGCCTTCAAATCACTTGAGGTTGTTGAAATAGAAGAGCGCTTCGCCCCTAGTTATCCCGATAGAATGTTAACGGTCAATCCTGCAAAATCGTTTTCGGCTACAGCGTTGAACCCGCGGCTCATTTTTTTAGATGTCGGATGGCTTTCATGTAATGTTGAAAAAGGAGATGTGTTTAGGTCACTAAAATGATGTGCGTAGTGCCTTGGATTATGGATGAAAATACATCTTTCCAATTCTGTTGTGTTTGACAGATCGAGACTTCTATCTCTTTTCATTACAGATGCTTTTGGTTCTGATACCCCACATGTATGTTGTCTCGGTAGACGATAGAGTAGTGTACCACACTAAAGCCCCTGGTAGGTTACCGATGTGGCATTTTAAAATTGTTGGTTCCAAGCGAATTATATTGGTCTTGACAGGACCTTTCGAAGAATCGTACATTAAAGCCAAAACCAACGTGTGTCATCTGAACAAAACTGTTGATGTTGATGTGCGCAGGCGAAGGCAAATTGTGAAGTGAATATATTTATGGTCCTTAGTTCGCAAACTTGCTTCGCTACCTCTAAGCCACTCATTTCCTATACTTAGACAAACTATATCAGTCCCACTGATTTAGCTAGACCAATGAACACCCTTCGATCTTCTCAAGATCTTCTAGAAGGTTCACTGGTTTATCTAGACCAATCAACACCCTTCGATCTTCTCAAGATCTTCCAGAAGGTTTAAGAAGCTCTCCTTGTGACGTCACCCGATGACGTCATGCTGTGCTTCTTCTCAGCCAGTCCTTCTCGATTCTTCCAAACCTATCCATGAACATAAAAAGCAGTAGACGGTGCTATGTTAACACTCCCACTCACCGCTATTGCTAAATGCCCTTGGGTCCAATGCAGCTTGCTTGTATCAAATAGTTCAGTCGCTTGGTCCCCAGAGCCTTCGTTAGCATGTCGGCCAACTGGTCCATGGTGGAGATGTACTTGACCACGATGATATCGTGGGCCACATTCTCCCGGATGAAGTGGTGACGAATGTCAACGTGCTTGGTTCTGGCATTGTAGCCGGCATTGCTGGCAAGCCCAATTGCTCCTTGATTGTCTTCCCAGACCCACGTTGCTCCCACTTGCTCGTGACCTAGATCCTTAAGCAGCGCACGAACCCATAACACTTCCTGTGTACACAGGCTTAAAGCCATGTACTCTGCCTCAGCAGAGCTTAGAGCCACCGTGCGTTGATACTTGGACTTGTATATGGCTGGTGCGCCACCGATGATCACCATTATCCCTGACACGGAGCGTCGATCATCGATGTTGCTACCCCAGTCCGCGTCCGTATACGCTGTAGCTGTTACTTCGCTAGCGCTGCCGTCGTAGATTATCCCGTAGTCTCTTGTCGTCTTGAGATACCGAAGAACACGAATGGCTGCCTTCCAATGTTGCTGACCTGGATTCTCCAAAAACCTTGATAACTGCGTGATGACATACATCACATCTGGGCGCGTACATGTCGTGATGTATAGCAAACATCCGATCAGCGACCTGTACGGCTTTGACTGCATTTCTGCTCTATCGACATCCGTCGTTGGGGATTGCTTCTTTGACAGCTTCAGGCCGGACTCGCATGGGTTGACCACTGCCTTTGCGTCCTCTTGATTAAAACGGCTGGCCACATCATCGATGTATCGAGTCTGTCGAATCATCAGCTTACTGCAGTTGTGGTCATGATCAATCTCCACGCCAAGAATAAGTTTAGCCTTGCCTAGCTCCTTCATACGAAATGAGCTCTTGAGTGCTGTCTTGACCTCTTGAGTCTCCCTGCTGGTCTTGGCGGCGATGATCATGTCGTCGACGTAGAGACAAACATAGACATAGTTGTCATCTTGATGCTTGACGTAGATGCACTGATCTGCTCCGCTGCTACGAAATCCGATCTGTAAGAATACAGCATGGATTGTCTTGTTCCACGCACTTGCAGCCTGCTTGAGACCGTAGATTGCCTTGTCCAACTTGCACATCATCTTCTCCGCATTAGCTATGCCATTTGGCACTTCCATGTACACCTCTTCCTTGAGATCACTGTTCAAGAACGCCGTGTCTACGTCCAGCTGCTCAGTGACGTATCCCTTTGTCACCACCACAGCTAGCACAACCCTGATCGAGTTCATGTTTGCCACGGGAGAGTACGTCTCGAAGAAGTCGACACCGAATTTCTGCTTGAACCCCTTTGCGACGAGTCGAGCTTTGTAGCGCACCACTTGTCCGTGTTCGTTTCGCTTCTTAGCGAATATCCATCTGCACCCGATTGGTCGAATGTCTTGCCGTTTTGGTACCAGTGTCCAGGACCCGTTATCGGCGTGCGCCTTGAGCTCCGCTTGCATCGCTTGAATCCACTTGCTGTTGTCTTCGCCTTTTAACGCTTGGCTGTATGTTGATGGAGCGTCGTCCGCCTCGCCAACGCTTGCAGCATAGGTTAATACAGCCTCTGCAATGAGACCTTCGTCAGCAATTCTTGCACGCTTTGGAGAAGGTGGTCCATCGCTACCTTCTGACGTGTCTTCACTGCTATTCCCATTCTCAAGCAGCAGCATTCTGTCTCGTGAGCGTCTTGTCCGATTTATCTCCGGCTGAAATACCAACCTGTCCTCCTGAAAAGCTTGTCTCGGAGCTTGATATCCCGTTATCTCATCGCCTCTTGGTTCTTGAGTTTCTGGATCGAGTACTTGAGGTATGATGATACCTGTTTCGAATGGAGCCGATTCTATCTCGTCCATCTCGACATCAGGAGCGCTTTCTTCGACATCTTCCATCGTCTCGTCTCCATCATACGGACGAACCACCGGAATCACTGCTTCATCAGTGTCCCTAATATACTTGACGACTGGTACTTTATCTGGTACTACCGTGTCGTATATGCCTTCAACTTCCCGCTCGTCCAGCTTTACGGAGCGCGATATGACAACCTTCGACCTTTCCAGATTGAACACCCTGTATCCCTTGGTGTTCTCCGCATATCCGAGGAACATACACCGGTAACTCTTTGGTTCGAGCTTCGTCCTCTTGGCGTCGTCAATGTGAGCATACCCTTGCGATCCAAACACACGCAAATGCTCAGTACTCGGCTTCATCTTGAAACCAACCTCGAACGGTGTTACGTCCGAATTTGCAGAGTTTGTGGATCTGTTGATCAAGTACACAGCCGTACTGACCGCCTCTGCCCACCACTGCATGTCGATACCCTTGTAGTACAGCATGCTCCTTGCCTTCTCCATGATAGTGCGATTCATGCGTTCCGCAACGCCGTTCTGTTGCGGACTATATGGTACTGTCCGCTGGTGCATGATACCATTACGGGCGCATATATGGGCAATCTTCTTGTTGACAAACTCCGTCCCGTTATCCGACCGTATACACTTCAAGTGCTTGCCCCATTGATTCTCATAGAAAGCCTTGAACTCGCTAAGCCTTGCGGCCACCTCGCTCTTGTGCTTCATGAAGTACGCTGCCACAAATCTTGAGTAGTCGTCTACGAATGTCAATACGAATCGTCCACCACCCTTTGAGACCGTCTTCATCGGTCCCATCACGTCCGTGTGTACTAGTTCCAACACACGTGACGTCCTTGTTAGCGATTGAGACGGGAATGTATCGATCGTCAGCTTGCCCTTCATGCATCCACTGCACAGCTTCTCGATGCCCTGCTTTACCGCCGGCATACCACTCGTAGCGCGCTGTGTCTTGTCCATACCAGATCTTCCGGGGTGTCCCAAGCGAGCGTGCCAAAGCTCCCACTCACTTTCAGCCCCTGCGTATTCTACAAGCCGGGCTTCTTCTTGTTCGCAATCCAGGAAGTACGCCTTGCCAATCTTCTTGCCGCTTGCAATCGCGCGCTTGGCACTCCAAATGATGCAGGACGAGCTTTGAAACTCCACCCTCATGCCTCGTCCTGCCAGTTTGCCAACGGACAGCAATCGTTTGTCAAGTCCTGGTATGTGCATGACATCGACCATCATGATCCGTCGACCGTCTAGACCTTTCAGCTTGACTGTTCCCACTCCAGCTACCTGCAGCTTCTTGCCATCAGCAATAGAGACTTGTTGACCAGTCTTCAACTCCTTGTACTCAAACAGATCGCTCCGATGTGGTGTCATGTGCGACGTAGCCCCGCTGTCGATAAGCCATTCTTCGCATTGCAACTCACCAGCAGCAAACACAGCACCTTCTTCCTCGCCATTGCTACGCTTCAGGCAGTCCCGCTTATAGTGTCCGACTTGACCACACTTAAAGCACTTGCCTTTAATTCCGGTGTTGGTTTTCCGTAGATAGTTTCCCTTGCGGCCGTTACCTTGGCCTCCCTTGAACCGTCTACCGTTGCTGCTTACAGGAAACGCCTTCTCCGTAGTCTCCTTCCTCTGCAATCGTTCATGCTCCTTGAGCAGCTTTTCCTTGACCTCGATGAGCGTAATGTCCTTGGAATTCTCTACAATTGACGAGATGAGCTCATAGTCCGTCGGAAGACTACTAAGCAGCACCACTAGCTGCCGAGAGTCATCGACTGGCTCTCCAAGTGTCTGGAGGCCGACAACAAGCTCGTCAAAAGCATCCAAGTGCTTCGACATGGTCGAACCATTCTCCATCTTGAACTCATGCAGACGACGTGTCATCTCGACACGATTGTGGAGTGTGGTGCGGTTGTAGAAGTCCCGCAAGATGACCCACGCGTGCATAGCTGTCGTCGCCGATCGTATCTTGGTCTGGTGCTGTAGCTCTATGCCTTGAGCGATGATACCCAGTGCCTTAGCGTCGTTGAACAGCCAGGCATCCGTCATCTCTTCTTCTTTCTTGATGACTTGAACGTGCACCAGCAGCCCCTTGCGCGCCAACGTCATGCGCATGTTATACTCCCAGTGGAAGTAGTTTCCACTACCCAGGAGGACTTCACACCGCTTGTGTGTCATGGTGGACGTGGTGGCTTGGCGGTTTGGAGCGCGTTGCGGCTGTTAACCTGTTGATGTTGATGTGCGCAGGCGAAGGCGAAGGCAAATTGTGAAGTGAATATATTTATGGTCCTTAGTTCGCAAACTTGCTTCGCTACCTCTAAGCCACTCATTTCCTATACTTAGACAAACTATATCAGTCCCACTGATTTAGCTAGACCAATGAACACCCTTCGATCTTCTCAAGATCTTCCAGAAGGTTTAAGAAGCTCTCCTTGTGACGTCACCCGATGACGTCATGCTGTGCTTCTTCTCAGCCAGTCCTTCTCGATTCTTCCAAACCTATCCATGAACATAAAAAGCAGTAGACGGTGCTATGTTAACAAAAACCATAAAAGCTAGCAAGAGCACGTATGTGCTGGTTCTAAGGTTTCACATCATGTCTCTCTGATAAATTCGAGTCCTGAACTCAGCTCGCGTTGACGCAAATGTTTATCTGAGAAGAGTCCTAAATACCGCTTACATTTCAAATGCGTATATATTGCGAACTTTGAGCTCTGACACGAAGGGCACGTCTTATCTAATTTGATTATGAAAATGAGACATTCATGTTCTCATCATCTATGCGATGAGCCCTCATGGCATCGTCCGATCATACTAATATAAGGACATAATGTCTCTCTCGACCTTGTGGTACTCTTTTACGTCGATCTTTAAGTAGTTTGCTCGAAGCGTGTGTGACGACCGGTGAATAGTAGCATGAGACTTTTGTTGTAAAAAACCTCTTCCTGTTAAGAACCTATATGGTGGAGCAAGGTTATCGTTTCCCGCTCATAAATTAAGGTTAGTCTGGATGATCTTAGCGATGGCGGCACGTTGCCAGTTTCCGTCCAGAACGGACAGCGAGGAGCCCCCGACTTCTTCGCCAACCGTCGAACCCAACTTTCAGCATTTTACGTGATTTTGATCATTAGGAATTAGCTTTTACGTTAGGGCAAAATATATAGCCTTCATTTTTTTAACGTATTTCAATTCGGATACAAAGTCTTAAGCTGTTAAACGAAGAACAAAGTACTTCCAAGTGAAACGAAGACAAGTCTGTATAATATTCTATGAACTATGTCCAATAAAAACACTTATAGTATTTATCTCCCCACCAAAGCTTGCGAGCTTGAGTCTCAGTTGGTTGTGCTCTGCTCATTGGGTGATATAGGCCATTATATCAACCAATAATAGCGACTCGTCATTATTGGTTGATATAATGGCCTCTATCACCTAATGAGCAGAGCATAACCAACTGTAAAGAATACCATCTGACACGATAATATTTTGAGAGCAATTTTCTTAACATGATATTCTTGTCGATAACCATCTTACGTAATAGTACATAACGGACACCTTGCAACAATGTACTTATAACATACATACACTTTCTATTACAAATGCTTAACTTATCACTGAAAGCTGCCACTTTCCAGCATGATGGAGCCTGCCATTATCAAAGGACAGTGTGTATGGTATGGTTGTTCCGGTCCGTTTTTTTTTTTTCAAAAGATAGGGGAGCAAATTTTGGAGCTCGCCCTTCGACATATGTAATCCAGTTCAGATAGCTGAATCAGGTCGCAAAATTTTAAGCAACAGCAGACACCGAAGAACGCGTTTGGTGCTGCCAATGTAGGTATCTATCCTCTACAGTATACATGGGCAACACGATTGATTTTTGATTATGAGAGTCAAGCGTTTGCTTATGTGAGCACATTTTTCTTTAATCGATTCCAAGCCAATCAGGTGCGTGTATCACAATATTGACTTAGCCATGGAGTGACTTCGGATATGCCTGCGTACCTGCGAGGGGGGCATGCTAGATCGTACCATAAAAATGGGATTACACCTCATCCGCGTGATTAACAGACACACAGAGACACACGATGAGGTTGGCATTCAACCATGCGCGCACTTACTAATAGCTTCACTCTTCGGGGCTCGCAGTTACGTTGGACAAAATTGTCGTCCACCGTACCCATAACTTATCAGAGGGAGATCTGTACTATTCTTTACTATCTAAAAAGGTGTGTTCTATCTTAAAAGAAAAGCTAGGTACACTGACGGTTGTTGTACTTTCGGTGACCGTCGAGATCGATCTTCTTCGACTATTTGTCATATCAATGGGCTCTCCAACTGGTCGAGTGTACCGGCGTCGATGTGCAAGCGATGCTTTGTATTTTTTGTTGCTAATTGCCAGTACTATTTTACCAATAAAAATACAGACAACTCAGCGCAAAATGGGTCGTTTTCCACTGTATGAAAGCTGAACCCTTTGTGTACAAAAGTTACAACAACAATTAGAATGTCCGACTCAGTCGTCAGTTTGTTCATGTCTCGCAACTCTGTCAGAAAAAGATCGGTGGCTGAGGTGCTCAGGAATGAGTCCAGGTACACGTGTAGGCATGGACGCGTAGATTACGCTCCAACTGATCTCTCGGTGGCCATCAGAAAGTCAAGGTACGTTTACCCCTTGGAATTTCTAGAAGTTTTGTATGCCAATGATTACAGCAGTGGCAGCGGGCATGACCACGAGCTTGCAGCATCATCATAAATTGTCAAACCCGTATACCACACGGAAGATGATACCAAGCAAGAAACCAGTGCGACTTTGTGAAGAAGATCAAGGTTTGACGATTTCTGTTACCTGTCATTGTCTACGGGTAGCTAGTGCGCCCGCTGTCTTCGTCATAGCAGCTTCATCCGATGAAGGTGTCCACCCTTAAGGCAAATGACAGTCTGCTGAACCGAGGTGGCTACATATCGTGTCACCCACCAGTAGACGGTCATTTTGTTTGATGGAACCGGCAAATTTGCCGTTCAGTTACCTGACGAAAACTGTGGATCCCGTAATCGCTGTAAATGGTCGCGTATGCTGCATACACAACCTCTATATTGTCATTACGCTTCGACGAGCAGCCAAATGCACAAGCTTTTGTCGGTTGACATATAGCACAAGTAGATGGCGTGATAGCTTTTGTGCTGTTCATCGGTTGCATGCATAGCACGCTTGCTACAAGGGAGTGATTCATCCTAAACTCAACAGCGTCCTTCTTGACAAGCACTATTTTCCATTAAGTTCCACGACGGTCTGCATACTTCAAACGACTACACTTGTAACAAACAACGCGAAAACTCAACTAGAAAGCCCCACTGCCTGCAGCACCCAGCTCATCAAAGTGCGTCTGACAGTAATTCTGCGTCCGTTCGTACGCGGGCTTGGAGCAGCTCGGCACCTGGCATCGCTTGCCACCTCCGTGAGCCCAGCAAAATCCATGCGACACTGCAATCGTATCGCAGCTCTCGAACGAGCACACGGTACCTCCTCCATGCGACCAGCAGACGCCCTTGGACTTGGCACGATTGATGCAATCCTGTATCTTGCACTTGACGGATCCACCGTGCTTCCAACAGCGCTTCGCATGTTTCGCACGACTGCTGCATCCTTCCACCGTACAGAACTTACTGCCTTTTCGAACTGGTGTTGCAGCTTCCGCGACCGAGCGCTTTCGTTTGGCGATGGCCAAACCGCTGGTAGAGTCGTCATTTAGCTCGCTTGCTTCGTCCGCGTCGCATTCTGAATCGGACGACGAGAGGATAAAGGAGAGAGCAGCCTTGTCCATGGTGTTGGCATCGTTGGTCAAATGACGGGCATTTTCAGAGCCCTGTTGCTGCTGCATTGTAGAGTTGCTGGAAAACCGCGAGGCGGGGGATACCGTGGGTCCGACCGTGATATTTTGTACTGATCTCGCAGACGGAAAGCTACCGGGTGTGACGACACTGCTCAGGGTGTTTGGGGTCGTCGAAGGATGCGTTAGCGTAAGCTTGTCACGCACAGTCATCACGACAAGAGAGGGGCTTATCGATCGATCGATCTTGTGAGATACCGGACGATAGGGACAAACAGGCGCAACGAGCTCTCGCTTACAAACAACGAGAAGCGGTTGGTAAAATTTCGTGCGGTGGCTGGATGAGGTCTAGAGGGTGAGGAGCACAATGTCGTACGCACAGCGCAAATCGAGAAGTGACTTGATGTGTGATAGACCTAGTCTGACCTGCCTTCGGGCTCGGATTATGTCGCCGGTGAAATGCACCGAAAGCTCCGCCTCCATACAGCTGGCAAGTGCTCAGGTGAGACGTGAGTCCCTCGGACATAACCAAAAAGACTGTCGTGCAGACCGAGAGGTGACTAGGGTATAGGCAAGCGACGACATGCTGTAAAAACAGCTTGTAGGCACTCACGCATGCCGTTTGTCTCGCGCAGGAGGCGAATTGTCGATGCATTTCTACTACCATTGCTTGAAGCCATCTGCTTTTGGCTGGACAGTATCTCGAGAGGGCGACGAACGGTGTTCACGGTGGCCTTTTCAGGCAGCTGAAGTATCAATGAGTGAAATGGTTGTCATGCCGCGGTCATAAGGGACACGAAGAGCAATCGGTCCAGCCGTGACGACTAAATCTTGGTATGTAATATGACGTTGTCCTTTGAGTGATTTCGCAACCAGCTTTGATACACGTTGAGCGTTCGTTACCGATACATCGTTAAAGAATAGGCGACGACATTCACATTGGTACCGGTAGAGGATCACAGTCGCCACGTTTGAACGACTTCGTAATGCCAGGAGATATACAACGGCGAGATGTGGTAATGCGCTAGAAGCGACAGTTTCCAACGAGTACGTTGTTGTGCCTGACAATAGGGAGTGTATAATCGCATCAGCGCGTTGAGCACGATTGTTTCCGATCTACTGATCGTACAAATGTTCTCTTGCTCAGTTCGTCACTCTACGATAGACTCAGAGTACAATCTACTCTTTGGTCGTTATCGTGATGCAGTTCAGCTTCTAAATCATGGCTGGACATGACGCTGACTGCCCGCGAAGCTAGAGAGATACAGCAAAGCGTTTCTCACTGCAATAAGTAGCGATGCTCATCGGTGTACCTTGCACTAAAGCTGAAGCTCTGATCCGCTCGACTAACTATCTCCATACGGCAGTCGTAGCGCCGTTTGCTTTGCTGTCGCTCTTTGTTTGTTGTCCGTAGCAAGCAGAGCATGCAACATGCCACCTCCGATCAGGCGATCATACGGAGAGCGAGGCTGCTATTGCATGTCGGTCTTCTGGAAACTGCGGCTTTCAGTCCTTCTCTGTCATGCAGCTGGCGAGGTCTGCGCCCGTACCCCAAGCCTGACTCACACGATTGAGTAACTCCAAATTTGTAGTGACTGCCCATCTACTCGGCCTTTCCCCTGCAATGTGGCGCGCGTGCTTATTGTGAATGCTCTGCATACCATTCACCCCACCGCATTTTTCTTCGAAACGATACAATAGTCATGCATTGAATCACAACATCCTATCGAGTCATTCAGATGCCTCGCCACGTGCGACGTGAGGTGCCACCACTGACGTCTCGGTGAATCTATGGCCGTTCGCTGACTCACGCGACCCTGATATCGCCTTCGGCACGGTCGCCACGTTGCACGACGACTCAGTTGTTACAGATCGATCGCCACGCTTGGATCGTCAAACGGCGATCGGAGCCGCAAAAACGAGCACTGAGTCAAGAAATGTGCCAGTGTTTTGGACAGGCAGAGAGAGATTTTGCTGTAGCCTCGTTGATAGAACGTAATGACACACAAAGTTGCGTCCACACGTGTACAAGAGGGGACTCTGCTTCAACAGTAAACACGACACCAGTGTCCGGCAAGTCGTGATGAGTGCCTCCCTATCTTGCGGGACTTGGCAAATCACACTCTACTCGTATTGCTCCTTCTCGACGCCGTCCCAAAGCGCAGCTGGAGATGTCATCACGTGGTGGTTGGAGCACTTTATGGCAGTCCACTAGTTCCACGATCTCATGGGAGCTCTGAGACATGGCGTGCCTGCGAGATACGACTGAATGGAATGACGATGCCTGAAACGAAGGGGTTGCTCATCGACTGTGGGATTCTAGACAAGACGCATTGCAAGACCGTGATTGCGTCCCATTCCGTTTTTGCAACGCGACGCTATGTCGACCTCTTCACCCGTTCTGCAGACGTGCTTCGTTTACAGTGGTTGCGTACTCATTATAAGGACTCGTCTTGCCTAGCGTCGTGTTGTGCCTTTCTACGAAGTGTACATGTACAAAGTGAGTTGTCGTCAATATCTTTCACGATTAGTACCACATACAAAGCTTCTCTTGAGCTTCTTTAGAAGTCATTAGCTTAACCACATTTGTATCCTGACTTAGTATGGAAGTTCGAGATGAAGAGGTGTTTACGAGCGCTCAAGTCCACAGGGCAAGCACGGTATGGCGATGGATAGTCTGACAAGGAAAGAACGTGACCACCGACGTAGCATTATCGTAATAAGACCAAGTGTTTTGCATTGCACGCCATGCCTGGCTTTGGGAGCTCAGATACCGACCGACTAATGACTTTGAAGGAGACAACTGAAGGAGACACAAGCAACTGCGGTCTGAAAGGCCCACGACGGTGGAGAAGAAAAGAGTTTGTGAGTTTCGTCTTGTGGCTTCCTTTTACAACTCCAAGAGGTGGGACGGTGTATTTGATGACGAGAGTTGCATGAGCGCTCATGCAACTCTCATCATCAATGGCAAGACCGTTTGCTGTAAAAGCAGCGAATTGGCGACAGCTAAAAGCGTGATACCTCGTATGCACATCAACTGCAGTGTGAATATGTGTCAATGTCGGAGACGCTCACCAGTGAAACATCGAATACGTCGTCAACAACACATTCTAGGGAGAGAATGCGCAACCGTTCGGCTCACCAGTATGTATATTGCCCCCCTCATCGCCTGCATAGCATTATTTATCACGATTGTAGCAATCAGATGAACAGTGGACAGTATGTGCGAGGTGAACAACAGGCACGACCATGAAGTCACGACGTCTTAGTCCGCTCCAGCCCCGTTGTGTCTGCTTGAAAGTCGTCGGCCGCAGTCATGTCAGACAGTCTGGTACCGTCGCCACTAGTTCGTCACGATGACGTGCCTGACACAAAACTGGCTCCATTTCGATCGTCACGATCACCTTGCAGAAAATTCGGCAACTGTACACCGTGCGCACGCTGACGTAGAGCATTGAAGTCTCGTACCCCCTGACGTTGAACTATACACTTTACGAATGCTTCCCAGCTTCCGGCTGTGGGATCTGACTCACCGCCAGAACATCTGCGCTTTTCAACATAGCGAGCCAGCCTCAATACGGCCCAGCCCCTTTGCCTATCCAGCGATGAAGCGAGATCGTTAGACAATTTAGCCACAGCTGTTGAGATAGGCGCAGCAGGTGGTTTAAGTAAAACCTTCTGTCCCTAGGTCTGGCTAACGGAGATCTAGGTGTGAGCGAACATTACGAAATCACTTCCTGGCGGCAGACAGCTCCAACCACGGACAGGGGCAAGATCCCGCTGGGAGCCAGAAAACTTGCCTACTTGCAATGAGCGAGAAGTCTCCCATAGTGGGGTCATGGTAAAAAGGGGGAGGGTATTTCCTCGCTGCGCGTGCTACGGGAGGCAGCGCAGCGTGTGGCTCGAGAGAGAAGCGGTCCGCGGAATTTTTTAGTGCAGGGCACGTCGACGATGGATCGAATCATCCTGCAAACCGAAGACGTTCCTACTCTTCGTGGTCTGTCTACAACTCGCCGACACGTTCGCTGAGCATGGGCCCGTCCCCCAAAGAGAACTCCTTCAAGACCGTGACGACCCCCGTTGAGATCAAGTACCGGTTGTTGTTTATGTACAGTAGCACCGAGCCAGATACTCTTCGTCCAGTGGTTCGTTCGGGAACATTCGAGCACGTTGCGAGCCCGAGCCGACCTGGATAGCAAGAAGACGACCGCGAGGTGGCGGCCAGGGATTACGTCAAGATGGCTCGCTGGGACTACCGCAGTGGTAACAGGAGTCCAAGTCAAGTGTTTTTTCTGCCCCCTGAATCAAATTGCGCTGAGCGCGGGAACAACCCCGCCATCCGGTAGAGTGCACGCAAGAATTCAGCCCCAGACTTACTCAACGGACGGTTTCCACGGGCCCTTTTGGGAGTGCCCCGCCGTGACGCATGACGTCTTGAGCCAGCAGAATGGGAAAGCTATGAGTAGTAAGACTGTGGCATGGTAGATGACACGAGGTTAATCCACAACCAGACACCTTATTCATGATAAGTAGCTACAATAGACAGTCTGAGCTTCTCACAGAACTTGTTGCCTCAACTGCTGTCTCGTTTGTCGCGATCTAACAACGTCGCACGATAGACGCGTTTCGTCACCTGCGCATCTTTCGTGCTAAATTCGTGACGCATCGTATTTACAGACACACGAAACTGCGGGTGCAGATTTGCGTAGCATCTAACGGTATTACAGAAGTGGCAAGTACTTTACGAGTGCGCAACTTGCACGAACCCGATCATTGTCTGTGTGTCGAGTTTGCCGATGCAAAAATCTGTACTCCAAAATGGAATACGCTACTATGCGGTTGGTTTCTTCACTGTATGCTCAGGCCAAAATTATGTCTACTATGACACTGTTCTGATTCCGCTATAGGGTGCACGGGTGTCCTGTTGTAACTTGCACGTGATGACGACACCCTATCGCATTCGGCGTCGGTAGTTACGTCGAGGTTCTATTGGTGATCGTAGTAGTCTTCGCAAACGCCATCTCGTTTTTCGTGGTGCTTGAGTAAGCGACTGTACTACTGAGCAATAACATCATTTAAGGACGTTGGTCAGTTCTGACAACGGCTACGCCGCATTCAGAGAAAAGGATACAAGAAGGTCAGTAATGGTTCAATAGTTTGGTAATCGGATACCGAAAAGCTTTTTTCGTCGGACGTAACGAGGCGTCCGTTACAACAAATTTTTGTACAGTAAATATCGTCAGGAATATTATGCTAGCGTACTATTTTTTTTCTGAAAATATATTGTTCAGTTGCAGTTGGTGATGCTCTGCTCATTGGTTGACACAGGTCGAGCCACGACCGAAGTGCGCAATAAGTAGTAAGCAGAAAACTAAAATCCATAATTGTATCCAGACATAATGAAATGAACATTGTACAGAATGAATTGACAGCACATTTAGAGAATTGTCAGTGTTATAACGGGGTGAACCTATTACATGTAATTAATTTTGATACTTGATGATTAGGATATTATTATAAAGGTAAATAATGTTCCTGAATAGTGCTACGAGGGGTCACATTCAGAAACACTCACCGATTGGCTGATATGGGTCATCATATCAGACAGCTCTAGCGGTCCTATCAACGATGAACGCGCGCAATGTGTTGCAGAGCTACACAGCTCTTTAAGTCAGAGGAAGACTTATTTAACAAGCCAACGGCTTATGGCTGACAGCCTTTCAGTTCTACGGAACTAATATATCAAGTTAAAGAGTCACCCAGCTCAACAAAACACGGGTGGACTCTACGAGCTCACAGCTCAACTACTGTGTATTTCTAGAGAACCACAAGCACAATGTGCAGGGGAGTAGGAGTATAAGGACTCTCTAATCTACAGCAGTTCTAAGGAACTGCAGGGCACAATGTGCGAAAGGGGGGAGTCCAGGGACTTCTGCTCAAAATGAGAACTGACCTTTATTCAGATTTTACATCAAGAAAATCCTACTTTAAGTATCCTATATTATACTACACTGGAACTAATACAAATACTAGTATTCGAACTAAATGGATGGTTGGCACATCACTCAGTCATCACAAGATGACGGTACAAAGTACGTACACGGTACGTACCGTAAACCTGGGAATATCGATCAATCGATATTCTCTTGCTGATATAAAATCTAAGGTCACACAGATTCATCCATATCATTCAGGGAAAGTCTTTGACCAATTTAGCCAATGGCTAGTGTGACCCCGTTACACCCTCTTCCACCAGACTGACGGTACCACAAACGTCACTCGATTCATTCTCCCACTGAGACTTATTACAAAATTAACACACTTACATGGACCGACCTGAATACCTCCTGGAAGATAAGGCTCTAGCCAAATTCCTTCGTGTTGAGGACGTGGACTATGACAGTGGAAGTGATACCAAAGTCGAGGGGGTCGAGCAATCCAAACCCAAAAACGCCTGTGTGTGAGGACATTCCCCATCCGGCACCTAATCCGTTCCCCGAACGCAAAGCCGCGACCGCGCTAACAACGCTGGGAGCAATGTCCCACATGGATACATCCACCATCAATAACTCACTTGATGAGAAGCAACAACGCATGCTCGATCAAGCGGCAAGCGCACGGCGCAAGTCAGAAGTTCAGACAGAGTTGCAACAACACAGTGATATACGTTCACTCTACCTGGCGTGGAACAACTCATTCGTCAAGCGTCACGCAATACTTTGAAAACATGGGCCACCGGCCCCGAAACGAAATGGCCCACTGAAATCAATTGTCGTAAGGCTCTTTGAGAGAGTACTTGGAACCTACCGTGATGACTTTGATTCAAGACAGAGAATGGCTGCAAAAGCAGTCCCAAAGAACATCGGTTCCATAAATAAGGGGTACACTCATCATTATGTCCGAAGATGGGGACGAAACTGCGGAGGACAAACACTACATCCGCTGGTTGCATGGCGTTTGACGCCTCAGTAACATGCACGCGCTACGCGAAAGTGTCAGTGTGGCAGACGTTCGTCTAGAGCGAAAGCTTCGCTATGACTTCGAGAAGTTAAGGGCCAGAGGCCGTCTGCGGGGCTATGCTTCGGCTGCCTCTGCAGCCGCGAGTTCACGTCAATATTTTGACATGAACTCGCTCCGCTCTCACTACAACGAGTGAGAAGCGTGACACTCGTAAAGACGAGCTCGGCCGTGGCGCTCAAAAACGTCAACGGCGTATGAACAGTCTTGCCGAAGGGATATCTCATACTCCCATGAGTTTTCATACTCAGGGTACCCACGCCACTTCACCAGATATAGGTAGTGGCCATAACGACGACGTCGTTAAAGTAATTGCTTCACATGGAACCGTAAGCTGCCTTTCTTATCTAGCAAAGCCGGTAGCGTTCGGAGTATCGGCTGAAAGCCATGCGGAGTTGGTGACGAAAGTGAAGGGTCTCCGTGATACTATGAGTCAGACTCAGAACGCTCTGGGCGAAGCACGATCTCTTCTGGCGAAGTTGGAAGGCGATCGCGCCCGTATTCAGATGATGGAGTCACTTCAAAATCGTGTCGAGGCTCAACTTGACCTCTTAATTCGGATGCAACATCCTGTGGCAACGCCAATGTACGTGGCGCAAGCGCCTTCAAGTCAACATGGGACGGGTCCCGGTATGGCTTAAGCAGGCTGACGTAAAAGACGGGATGTGTACGCAATTTGCGCGGCAAGTTGAGCATATACGCAAGGCCCTTCTTGGCCACGACTGTTTAAGGTCCAATGAAGCGCGACCGCATCTTCGTTTTGAAGAAAGCTGACACTACATTTGTAGATACAATTTTTGCGTTAAGCAAGACTTGATCTCCTACCTTATAACTCTCAATTCAAATTCTGCCTTTGGCATCTGCTTGTTCCTTTTCTTTATCTTGGCTATCAGCCATTGCGTCTCGCACATGTCGTAAAACATTCAACCTTGTTGCAAGGAACTCACCAACCTGTTTTTGAACAGTGGCAGGGCTGACATCAGCAAGCAGATCGGCAATTCCTCCCCCACCAAGCCCGAACCTACGGAGTGGTAGTGTCAATGTGACGCGCGGATGGGTGAGACCGTTCACATAGAACGGGGTGTAGCCAGTCGAGGCATGAACGAATTGAACATGGCAATTTCGACCACCGGAATCATGGTGCGTCAACACCGAGGCTTATCGACGCAAAAGCTGCGCAAAATGTTACCAATGACAATATTCACGCGTTCAGTTCGACCATCGGTCTGCAAATGATCCACGGTGGACATGTCCAATCTGGTGCCGAGCACCTTGAAGATAAATTTTCAAAAATTCCCCGTAAAGCGAGGATCACGATCTGAAACAGTTGCCAAAGGCAAACCGTGTTGAGGAAACACACGATCGATAAACAGCTGTGCTGTACGTTCACTATCAATAGAAGCCGGCACAGCCGCTAAATAATTCATCTTACTCAAACGGTCAACAGAGACCACAATACCAGTGTTGCCGTCCAAATCGGTTGGCAAACCAAACACAAATTCCATACTGATGGATTTCCAGCAACCCGTGGTATAGGCAAGCTCGCCAAAGGCGCAGCCGCATGAGCGGAGTTTTTGACCCGTTGACACGTTTCACACGTATGCACATATGTGCTCACCCATTTATATAATTTGGGCCACTAATAGTGTTGGCTGAACGAGCCATAGGTCATCTCTCGACAGAGATGACCGCTCAAAGCTGTATCATGCGCCTCAAAGAGGATACGATACTTCAATTCCTCATCATAAGGTACGACGATGCGCGGAGTATCCGCCGCATCCGTGCTAAAGCACAAGAGACCGTGATTGAAAGAATATTGATGTAGTCCTGCACGCAAGCATGCCAACAATTTAATGTCCGAGTCTTTAAATCGTCACAACCGAGCGCGCGTAACAACGCGACACACTGATTATCCTTGGCATAAGCCGCACGGATTAAATCAGGGATAGAAGACGACAGAGTCGTAACATGAGCAAGCCCATAATCCGTCCTGGGTGATAATGCATCGGCCAAAGCATGTTGCTTCCCTGGTTTATACTTCACCTCGATATTATACACAGCGAAGAATGAAAGCCAAAGGGCCATACGTTGCGAGGGATGAGGCGACTGGGTCGCAGTGCGCAACGATGCATGATCTGTGAAGATTACAAACGGCTTAAAGCCAAGTAGATGTACTCTGAACTTGGCAAGAGCATACTTTATTGCAAGTAACTTCTTGTCATGTAATGGATAGTTCTTCTTAGCAGCTTTTAGCCGGCGAGACTCAAAAGAAATGACGCGTATAGGTCCATCGACATCACTTTGCAAGAAAGCACTGCCAATGGCAAAA